CCACCTCCCGTGATCTGGACACAAGGCTTCTGTAGATGCATTCGAAGATTGCTGCAGTCACATTGCACTGCAGGCTCATGTTTAGCTTGTGATCAACCAGAACACCCAGATCCCTTTCACATGTGCTGCTGTCAAGCCAAGTCCCTCCCATTCTATATCTGTGCCTTTGATTTTTTGTACCCAAGTGTAGGACTTTGCACTTCTCTCTACTGAAATTCAATTTGTTTGTCTCAGCCCACTGTTCCAGCCTTTCTAGATCATTTTGAATCTGGACTCTATCTTCTTCAGAATTAGCAATCCCACCCAGCTTCGTGTCATCTGCAAATCTGATAAGCATCCCCTCTCTGTCTTCCTCCAGGTCATTTATAAAAACATTGAACACCGGGCCCAGGAAAAAAAGGAGATAAGGTTGGTCTGGCATGACTTATTCTTGATAAACCCAGGCTGGCTACTACCAATTAACTCATTCTGTTCAAGGTGCTCACAGACAGAACGTTTAATAATCTGCTCTAGAATTTTTCCAGGTATTGATGTCAAACTGACAGGCCTGTAATTTCCTGGGTCCATCTTTTTTCCCTTCTTGAAGATCGGGACAACATTCGCTCTTCTCGTCTTCCGGCACAACAGCAGTACTCCAGGAGATCTCAAAGATTAGAGCCAGAGGCTCTGAAATAACATCTGCAATTTCTTTTAGCACCCTGGGATGCAAGCCATCCGGCCCTGGAGATTTGAAAGTATTTAAGGCAGCTAGATGCTCTCTAACCGTTTCCTTACTTACTCTGGACTGGCAGCTCCTCCTTCCTTCATATGCCTGGCACTCTTCAGTTTGTATACAGCTCGCCTTATGCTTAAAGAACAACGCAAAATGAGAGTTGAGTAATTCCGCTTTGTCTTCATCCCTTGTTAAGGTTTGACCATCTTCCCCTAGCAATGGGCTTACCCCATCCCTGTTTTTCTTTTTGCTCTGAACATAGGCATAGAAACCTTTCTTGTTACTTTTAGCATCCCTTGCAAGCCTCAGCTCCATCTGCACTTTAGCCTTTCTGACACCATCCCTACAGATTCGAGCCTGCTTCTTGTACTCACCCTCAGTAATTTGACCCTCCTTCCATTTCCTGTACATTTCCCTTTTTAGTCTCAGTTCTTTCTCCTGTTACCAATAAGAACCCTCGCCTGCTGTGTCTGACTGGGACAGGCCCTCCAGAACAGAACCCCCTCGTGTCACAAGGCTATTATATGTGAATGCAATTATATATTTAAAACCACACGATTGTTAATGGCATATGGTTTTTGGAACGATACTTTCATATTGGGGAAAATCAGTATAGATTACTAGGTATAGTCCTGGACTGGGTTCAGCCCCATGCGCCTGCCCTGCCCCCAAAACTGAGACACCCCCCCCCCTGCACACAGTACCTCCCCGCTTCTCTCTCATCCCTTGGTAAGCCTGAGCCCAAGCAAAAGGCTTTTTGTGGGCAGAGTGACCAAATGACACCAGTTTCAGAAACAGAACGGTTTATCTTCAGGAGTCTGGTATACAATGGATACACACGCGCATGCAAAAGCACTTGAGCAGCATAAGGTCACGCCACAGGGCAGCATCTGAGCAGAGGGACAGCAATACAATCGAATGCATCCACCTGTTCCTCTTTGGAACGTAAAGAGGAAGGCAAATCCAAACGTTGTCCCTTCCAG